AGCACGACTCACTTGCATACGCGATTAGCTGGGCAAGTGCGTAGCCTCGACAGCAACAGATGCTTCCTCGCATGCAATTCGCCGACCGGGCCGAACGGATAACCAACAGGAGAAACGAACGCTGTTTTTTTCTGCATCTGTCGTGCTCAGCGGCTCTCCAGAGCCTCGAGATTCGGCTGCTGTTCAGGAAGCCGGAGAAATCGAAAAAGATCTCTTCTCTCGGGACGCTTATTCTTCTTCGCGGACGAATTTATGCGAAGGGGCACTCCCCCAAAACGGAAAGCCCGGAGAACTACGCGAGCCCAGTCTCTCTCTGACGGACATCACCGAACGTGGCCGAATGTTTTCCCGGAGGTCTCGAATTGTGGAACTCGTGGAGAATGCCATCCGCTGAGAATCTATTACATTTCTCCACTTGGTCTTCAACGTATTGCTCGAACGAGGTTCCTGATTTCATTCGTCCCACGGCCTCGTACGCGCCATCGGAACAGAACGTTTCGAGGAAGCACAATACGTATTAGAGGAATGCGATTTGCCGAGCTCGTGTCGAGTCCCGCTGCGTTGGTGGGCGCAGGTCTTTATCAGCTGATCTGGTTAGGAGTCCGTGCCTGGGAAGCTGTCCGTTATCTGTGCGCAGACACCTCACGATGGCGTAAACTGGATTACCGCTAAGGAGTGGAACGGCCGCTTTCCTTCTCCTATCAGCACCGTGCTTCCCGCTCCTCTTCACACTTGAATACCTTCACGGAAAGGCGTGGCTAAGAGTGCGTGCCGAGCGGGTGGAAACGAGTCGACACGTGGTCGAATTACCGGATACAGAAGAGGCGATCAAGGAAGAGCAACAGAAGATACCACCTGGAGGAGGTGCGTGAGAGATTTTCGAAGCATCCGAGATAAGGACTCGCGAAAGGATCGGATTAAGGCAGATGGAGGTTCAGGTACCCACGATATGATCCCATAAATTCATTGCAATCTATTCCTCGACGCGAGCACTTTTGGGGTTTCATCCCCAGCTGCCCGGTATGCTGCAATGCTCGGGGATCTTCTCCGGTCAAATATCTTCTGGCTCCTGAAAGTCCTGCTTCTCGTGACGAGTCCACCTGGAAAGTTGGGGAGTCTTCCCGGAAGCACGGGAGTGCGGGGCGTCTCACTTTTCCTTGTTCTCCGTCGGAACACATTGCGACAAACGGAAAAGAGCTGCCGCGTCGTAGTAGGTTTTTTTCTTTTTGCTTCTCCTTGGCAAACGCCGCTTGTTGGAGAGCCATGAAAAAAGACTCTTTTCTGAGTAAATAGAGTTGTTTGCACATGGAGAAGCTCTCCGGTTCTGCGCGAGGGCGGCGACGACGACAGCGAGAACGACGATGACGACGACTGCTGAGACGGAGACGGCCAACGTTGGCGACGACCAAGACGGTGGGAAGCTACGAATGACGAGATGACGAAACACGCCGACTCACTAGACACACCGACTGCCTATCTGGAAGAACGAACGAGTGGAAGGGTGCCATGTCTCTCGATGGGAAAGCTCGGCAAAGGCTTGGCTCTTGCTGACTCGCTCGTCTGGCCTGGTGTGTGCGTGCGTGTGTGTGTGGGTGGCAAGTATTTATCTTTTCAATCAGTCAGTACGTCTTTCATTCACTCACTCGCTCACTTGCACCAACTCGCAGCCTCCGAAAAGGGCATAGTTACCAAGGCGTTCGATGTTGCGAGGAGTACCAAGAGCTCCGACTACGGGAGCCTCTGCGACAAACTTCTACCGGGGCTGACAAACTCCTGGAGAAGCTAATTACTCGTGTCGCAATGGTTCTCCTTCCGGAATTCGTCGCGAAAGCTCCGTTTGACGACTCCTCGGAAAGATCGGCGAGCTGGTAAGACCGGAACGACGATTCCCCGGACCGGATTCACCAGCCAACCAGCCCAACGCCAAAGTGAGAACAAGAATCATTTACTTGGTGCTCCGATATATTTTTCCTCGCAGCGCCCTCCGTGGTGCCGATAGAGGATGTCTCCTTCACCACTATTAGTGGTCGTTGGGAGGATCGTTGCTCACACTATTTCTGCTGCTCTCGGCGCTTCGTGGGGTCCAACTTGCTCGTCGCTTCCGTCGAGAAGAACGTGGAGCAGCGGCAGCCGCAGCAGTAGCAGCGGCTGCAAGGGAGGGCAACCCTGCTCAGACCTCGATTTGGATTTCAGTGGTTGTGGGGGTGGTGGAGCTCCGTGCCACCACCAGTGGGAGAGCGATTGAGGGGATAGAATGACTTTTTCGGGCGAGAGAAGTTTGTTGTAAAAATAACAACGGACCAACGGGACGAGCGTAGGCGTCCAAGGGAGTGGGTGGTAGTTTAGGTGGTTTGCTCCGTTTCGCGCCCGCCCGCCCGCCCGCTCGCCCACCCCCGGGGCTCAGTCGTTGCGAGGGGCACGATGAGTAGGTCTTTCGTTTAGTTCTTTCTTTCGTTTGCTCGCTCGTCTGCTGCCTTGTTGGTCTGTCCGTGCGTCCGTCCATCTATCCATCCGTCTGCCCGTTTGTCGGTTAGCGTTTTCCTCTGATGGTGGCGGACAGCCAGCGACCGTAGCCAGTCAGATAGCCAGGGGTGGTAGGGTAGCGAAAGTATATCTGCTAATCGAATTACCAAAACGAGGGGCGCGCCAGAGGACAGAGTGAAGTTGAGAGCAAAACCACGCGTTGTCAAACCGCTCGCTCCGCTGTCTGCTGCTTCTACCGCGCCGGTGGTGGCAGCGGCTTTTCTCACAAAAATACCACCAGGTATTCGTCATCCTCCACGTATTCGTTATCCAGGATTCTCGTCCAGATATTGCCCTCACTAAAGCAGCCTCCCTCCTATAGAGGGTCACACGAGCATGTGGCAGTCCACCCGACCGACAAAGGGGAATTTTATTGACTTCCTTCCGGACACGCGACATTCGCCTGCACTTGACTCGAACGGGACTCGGGAATGTGGGAACAGGTACCTCCTCCCCGCGCGAATACCCCACTACGAAGATCTTCCCATGAGCTCGCGTTCTGGCTCCGACGAAGAGCTCTCCGCGATTTCTCCGTAGATGTACCCGCTCCGAAACGAGTTCTGACGTTCTCCCCAAGCCCAACTCGATCTCGACCTCGAAAGCGGAGCATGTGATGAAGCACGAGATTGTCGAACTTTAAGGACGACATTGAAGATGACATGAGGGCAGCTCAATGACGGGGAAGACCAGTAAGAGAAGAAGCAAATAGGTTTGTATCGTCTGTCGTCTTGCAGCCAGCCAGCCAGACAGCCCGCCAGCCTGGCCGGTCGCTTCCTTGGTTGACTGCTTGACTGGCTGAGGGCTCCTGCAAGTTGGCGGCCGCGACGGGGATAGCCGGGACTGCGCGGCGCTGCCGATGATGACGAATCTGCACTTGCAATGCAACCTTCTATTAGATTAGCCTAACTCGATTATAGGCTGCTTGCTTGCTCACCCACTTGCTCGCCCCCTCCCCCTTCTAGCTTACTGGGTCTAGGCTGACGCCGCTACTGCTGCTACTGTTACTGCAGCAGCAGCAGCGGCGGCCGAAGTCGGCAGACTGGCCTCCGCTAGTTGCGTGGCAGGCGCGGAATACACGCTCCCCCTCCGGCCCCCATCTACATTCTCCAAACTGCCCCCCGAAAGTACCCCTTCAGGGCTCCTTAGGAAACGCTCTACTGTTGTGTCCTCGTCCCTCATTGGGCTGAGTTATGACCTGTGCCTTGTCGTTGCTCCCCCTCGTCGCCATTTGTTGTTGATGTCGATGGCTGTCGCTGGAGCGACGAGCGAGCGACAAAGCGCGACCCTCCAGACGACGAAGACACACAACACGCACATCATGACTCGTTCAAGTTCACAAATCGTCGATTGGTCGACGAACAGACAGACACGAGACCAGTCGTCGTTCTTTCACTTGCTCCGCGCGCGAACGGTCGCCTCCATCCCCTGATTGCCAGTCGCTTTGCTCGATGGCTACGCTGACAACGATCCTGTTCGCCCACCCATTCCCCCGATGTGTATACACGAGTCCTCGGTGTGCGGTATGGCGCTGATTCTTCGAGCGACCGATCATTCCGTTCCCACAAAATCGAGGAAATAGATTCCACGCTCTGGCGTGTGTTGCCCCTTTATTGGCACACTATAGCGAAATCTCCTCCGATCATTACTCTTAAGTGGAACTAAACGGAATGTTGAACGGAGTAAGCCGCAAGGCTAATCGGCGATCCGTTCCGAATCCAATCGCTGTCGCCTGACTTCTACCAGGGTGTGTGCGGGTACCAAAGTTTAGTAAGCCGTGATCGAGTCGTCAAACGATAGAACGACCGCCGACATATATGTACTCGGGACAACGACGAGCACTCCGTCGAGGAAATTTCGCCGACGGGACTCAATGATGAAGACCTACGCGATTTGTCGGAGAGGAACGCTTGTCTGGTCGCTGGAGTTCGCGCGAGCATCGACTTGTGCAGGCTGGTCTCCTCCCGCCATTCTCCTCCTTCCCGTACCCATTCGCTTGCTCACTCGTTCGCGACAGAATGAAGAGAGCAAGCAACTCGGTTCGAACAAAACCGCGTTTAATGTAACGGAAGTAATGCGAGGCAAGCGTCAGCGAACACGATGACTGCGACATACCGCAGCATAGAAACAGCGAGGGACCGCCAAGAAGATACGATCCGAGGAAGCCGACCCGCCCACTTGGCCTCCCTCGGCCACTAAGCTTTTGTCACCGCAAAACGAATCATCCTCCTCCTTCGCGTGCTCATATTCTTGTACGCGCACACTTACAGCAAATGACAGATCATACGATCATTACGGAAGATATGTTCTTATAACGAATGGGGCTGGGGAGGATACACCACTCGAGAGCTACCGTTGGTGCTTCTCGTATGGGCCCGTGGTCTGCTCGTTGAACTCGCTCTGGAAGGAGAAAATTGAGCGTGTCCCCTTACCGCTAAGCGAGCTTCCTTTTGAAGAAGGTCCTTCTTGTCCCCTTGCAGGTGTGGTTTCAAAACCGACGCGCAAAGTTCCGCAAGCAGGAACGCTTGAATCAACAGAGGAGCAGCTCTGATGGAATGCCACCATCACCAATTTCGACTACAGCCGATTCCACGACAAACAACAATTGTCAGGGGCTCAAAGACTGCAAGGAAAAATCAAGAGAGATGCAGCATTCGCCAGATTCCAAATCAATCCATAATGGTGAGTTATTTATCGAAATTCTGTCTACGTGGATGTTTGCGAAGGACGTGGCTCAATCCACGGTCGTACCGGGGGTCTCCCTGAAGCCCGCTCACCGGCTCAGAGGGATCGCCGCGGAACATTTTCCACCTGTCGCAAGATTGCGTGATCGCTGATCTTATACTACGCTGAAAGGAGCCCATTCACTTCGCGTTGGGGCTGTTCCGGCTGATGCTCCAGGCTTTTGAGAGCAAACCTCGATGTGTTCCAGTGGTCTTGATGTTAGATCAAAGAGAGCTGAGATTCCTGAAAAGGATGCATACCTACATAGATATAAGTACATGTCTAACTGGATTATTTCCGTTTGTTGATACATAATCAGGATGCCATCAGGATCAGGTATCCTCAGCGGGGGGAAATCCACTTCGTTGATCCTCGAGTGGCGTTGTTGTGAGAGATTGTGGGTCGACTGTTTTCCGGCATCATCATCCCCGCCCGGAATCCGGCACACGAGTTCCTAAACTCTGCATAAGTGTCTCGGCAGATTGTCGCAAAGCAGGGACATCCTGCGATCCCGCGTGGAAAATCATCCTCAGAGTCAAAATTCGTCGTATACCATTCTCGACGGCCTCGCAGACAGCGTCTTGCTCGTTTGTTGTTCGCTGGTTGTTCCTAGCTCCCTTCGTTCCTGCCGCCCGCCTTTTCCTTGCCCCTGGAGACACTGAGCCGTCGGAGTTCCCGCCGTGAGAGAGCCGAGAGACTAATTCGAGATGACAGCTCCGAGGGAGAAACAGAAAGAAAGAGGCAGGAACGTTGAGGAGACCAAGTCAGCCGCTCAGCTAGTGTCAGCCGTCCCGTGAGCCGAGCAGCAAGTCATTCGACCAGCCAGCGAGCTGTAGAAGACCGCCGCCGCGGAGCGGAGACGCAGCGGCAAGAAGAACTACTTCGATTTAAAGGACGGCTTTCCTCTGGAGAACTTCTCCCACCAGCCGCTCCCTGTCTGGAGGGCCGACTCGCGTTCGCTGTGACAAATGCACTTGCCATTTTGCGCTCTCTGCCCACTCGGTCGCTTGTTCCGAAAGACGCCTGCCCACCATCCCGCCTGTTAGCTCCCCGACAGTCTCGAATCGTTGCAGTTAATACGAATTTTTTACCGCACTTGCTGAATTCAATCTTTCGTCTCCGTTCGGAGACTCTTGCTCGACTCCGGCTGGCACCTTTCGGACACGGTACCCGCAGCAGCCCTCCATAGCTTAGCCGTCGGGAACAATCGGGTTCCCCATCGATAGTGGAAATATTCTCCTGCACATTGAGAATAAGCGAGGATGTCACGCGAGGGGAGCGAATGATCTCCGGGGCTCTCGTCATGGTGAAAACTTCCAAGATTTCCGGACACGTTTGCGGACTGGTGTTGGTCACGGTCACCCTTAAGTTGATGAGCAAAGAGGAACTGACACGCTAACTCGGTGCTTTTGTTCCGTGCTCCTCGCATCTGCGCCCGTCCGCGGCTTGCGCCCACAGGGAAGCGAAAGGAGGTCTTGGGAGACAACCAATATTTGCCAAATTATGCCCTCGCAAGCTAGCCCGCCCGTCCGCTCGCTTGTTCACTCACCTCGCCGCTGCTCGGCTCGAGTCGACTCTGCTCCGGTGTCCTCGCTCCCTCCGACTCGGATCGGTGCTATGAGTTCTGATCCCGAACTGGACTAGACAGGCGGATCTGAAGACGCGTCAGCTGTCATAGTTTCTGACACAGCGGGCTCGCTGAGCTTCCGGGTCGTTACCGGAAGAATCTCCGGTGAAGCTGAAGCCCTTCCCTTCCTGTGATTTCCTACAACACTGCCTCATGCTTTCGCTACCTAATGCCCGTGCTCTGCCAAGAGAGGTGCCGACACGGAGCCAAATCACACCGTGTAAGATTTGGAGACCAATGCGGAGCTCCTTCGCAGGAGTCAGGAAAAGCAGGCTCGATTCACGCTCCGTACTGACCTCAACCGCTCGCAATCGAGCGGGAGCTCGAACGATGGCTGCTCCAGTACCTGGAAACGCACGATCGCTCGATGCTGCTCTCCGACATTGAAACACTCCGAGGGAGCCTATTTAGGAAAAGCTGTTTCAGAGGACGAGGCAGATTCGAGTGGAGTAGGAGCGGTAATGGCGGCTCCGGTCCTCTCGATGCTGTGCCTTATTATGCAGAAGCTGTTGAGTCATTATTTACTTCGCGTGTCAGGACGGAAAAGACGAAAGAATGGATGGACGAAGGATGAAATGAGGAGCGAGTCGCGGGGAAGAATATTGCGAAGTGATTTAAAACAAAGTTCTCGCTCCGTGATAGCGAGAATCGCTCCTCGATCATAAATATAGAGGATCTTCCATGAGCTAAGCCGCCAATACCCTCTGCGAAATCCCATTCCCCTTAGTGGCTGGCCGAATGAGGAAATTCAAGAGCTTTTGATGGACATAACCTCCATCGGAACAATCGAGTCTTGCATCGAGTTCCTAACGAGTTTTTTTTCCGCTTTCCAGGAAAGTTAGGCGCTGAGAGCCCCTGCGGAAGTCTTTCTGGAAGCAAGTGGAATTGTGGGGGAAGCCCGTCTCCGTACTCGACCTACATGAGCGCCCAGACACCCAACTCCGTAGATACCAAACCAAATCTCAGCTCATCGCAAATATTCTAGGGCTGCCCGGCTATTGTGCAAAATGAACAAAAAGAACCACTGTTCCCGTGCGCGTCATCTCCCGAAGAAATGACTATTGGGACATAGTACAGCGAACACATCGTGATTAATAAATCTCTTGGGGAATGAGTCTTGATAACGATAATAATGATAATAATGAAAGAACAATAAACGATGCAAATTTTATCTTACAATGTTGTCTGACCTGTATAACCTCGTTATAATGGACCCGGGTGTAAAGGTCAGTCGGGTAAAACGGACCGAGTGCTCGGTCCCGGACAAGCCTATGGGGTGTTCAATTTCGAGTGGCTCGGCTACAGCGGACCCGATAACGGACGTTCGGATTTCCAGGCTCCGGTCCTATCTCCTCCCATGCTGATCGAATAGGTCATGGCGGGCCTCCCTTGCAAGTAGAGAACTCGGAAGCGATAGCCTGTTGGCCGATTTGCAGGGTCATTCGCCCTCGAACGGGCCGTGAGAGAGCCTGCGGCGGGCTTTCCGATTATTTTCACGGTTCATTCCGACCCGAGCCTCTCTTCGGATGAAACGGACTCCGGACATAGCGGACCGCTCCAGCCGGCTCCTTCGAGTCCGTTATGACGGGGTTCTACCGCATTTGGCCTCTGAATTCCGACGACGGTCCGTGATAGGGAGATTCGCCGCTCCTCCGCGTCGCCATCCACTTCGATCCCAGCTTCTCGAGCGGTATCGCGATCGGTCCAGGTGGAACATAAATCTCGGAACTCCTTAGCCGAGGAACGCCGTCGACCATTTCTTGATACCAGGAAAGAGCCCGACAATCTTCAATCGGACGCTTTCCTCTTCAGGTCGGTCCCCCCCCTCCCCTTCTTTTCCCTACAAGCATAGCTCGTTTCTTCCATCGCAGGAAGCACCGATGCTGAGAACTCGGATTCTTCCGAGGACGGACGAGAAAAATGTCGAAGGTCGGACGTTCCCCATCAGGTTCAGGAGGAGCGATGGCTCGCACTGGAACTTATTATTATCGGAGGAATGAAGAGAGGGGAATCTGAGCAAATATCCGATGATGGATTCGAAGCCTCAGCCCGACCTTCAAAGCGGTTCTACTCCACTCCGATGGGCGTCAATACCCTCGAGCCCTTCACCCGTTGTCTTCTCGGCTATCACGCTACCTGAATCGCTGCTGCGTCGATCGATACCTATTCCTAGCTCTGTACTCCATCTACCAAGTTCTTGACGAGCACAGATAATCGTTTACGCTGAAAGGGCGAAACCGCGATCTTCCGGCGATTGCCCGCGAATGATCTCTCGATTTCTCGAGATTCGTTTCTAATTCCAGGGAGTGCGTGAGTTTACGGAAGCTGAGGCTCTCCGCAGAGAGCGGCGACCTGGGCGTCTTTTGAGCACGCGAATCTATCGGTGAACTGTCGTGGAGGGGATAGCTCGAGCGCGGCGTCTGCATGCTCAGCTTGGAAAGGAGGAGAGCTATTGCGGTAAGCGTCGGAGATACTTTTGCGCTGCGTGGAATCACGTGGAGAGCAGGAAGGTCGGTTCGTAGGAATTGTATCGCACGGCGAGGCGGCGGATCATCGAGACGATAGGTATATCCTCTCATTGAGATTTCTTGTGACCCGCACGCCCAGATTTTAAACGATCGTCACAAACACGCGGAAGTTGAGGGTGATTGGACGTCTTCCATGCGTATCCATTCCGGCACTACGATTGCTAATGAGCTCCCGAGCTATAACATATGATATGATATCCCCATGATCGAGTCGAAAACATTACTCGGATGTCGGCTAGCGTGGTGCTGTCATTGTACAAAAAGTATATGCGCTAAACCCGAATAAATCTGAAGAAATTTATCGTTACCCGGATTCCTTTACGACGAGTTTTCTCGAAGTTCGCATCATGCTCAGACGTTTATCGGGATCCTTGGCCATACTCGGTCCTGAATCCGCGCCCAGGACATGTATGTAAATTCGGGTTATTGGCGTTTCTCGAACGCTATATACGTTCATCATGGTAGCGGAGAGTGGAAATCCTCGGCCAAAACTCAGGGGTCTGACAGGCTCAAGAGCTCCTCTGAACATTTCCATCACAGGTCTGAGGTCGCGACAGAAACAGGTACGTCCATAGTTCATAGGCAAGACCTGCTCATTTACGTGACCGCAGGATGCTATCAAGAGGTCTGTCGCAGGTTCTTGGAATTGCTGCTCGAGTAATTTCCACGGATAGCTTCCCATGAGTTCCCTCGGGCTCGAGAAATGAGAGGATGAAACTCTGGGAATCCATTGGATTCGGGAACATCATACTTGATGGATTAAATCGCTTCGCGTAGAGTCCCGAAATGGGTGGATGATTGCATGCAATGAGGCTTTGGAAGTTAGCCATTGTTCGAAGCCCCAAGGACACGAATCTATTGGGTGCTCCGAGAAGTAAAGAGAGCGCATCGCGGCGCCGCGAACGTTCACCAAACATCTATGTTACATCTATGTTACATTTACTGATCAAGGGAGCAAAGTCTCCATTCGCTTAGACCGATGACTATGACCCACTGACGACAGACTTCCAAACGCAATCGGCGACTGATGACTTCTCGGGCCCCTCGACAATAGCAGGAGAGCATTTCGCCTCCTGGCAGGATGAATGGCTTATTCATATGTGTCCACAAGGAGCATATTAAAGAAGGAATGGATTTATAGATATGTTGTGTACGGGGATGAGTCGTATGAACTCCACGATCGGTTAGCTTATGGGATTCGAACCAAGAAGGCAAGCAGGTTTTCTCTCTTATTTTGCGCGGAGACTTGTATTTTTCCGGACCGGTGATCGGCCCGGAAGCTCAGAGCGCGAGATCAGACATGATGTTCCAAAAACCTACTCTTTGCAGGCAAGAACTGATTTTCGGAAACATCGGAGATGGGGAGATACGGGTTCGAGCGAGTTGTTCTTGATGTCCAGCTCCGTAATGCTGGGTCGGGCGAGGGGCTCAGAGTAAGTCATCGCGGTCATCCAGGCGCAATTCGAACTCTGTTAGGCCTCCTGGTTCGGGTTCTATAAGCAAACGAAATCGAGGAATCCATACGGCCTCACCCCTTAGGAGTGAGTCCTGAATTCACGTTCGAAGTCTGAAGATTCGGCAGGAGGTACCGTGATATTCCCATGGAGGTTTCCCATTCGGTTTTGAGACGGACGTGAGAGCCTGTTCGTCCATCGATCTGGCTCAAGACATCCAGTCACCCATCTCGAGAAGGGAGGACTCATCTGAGCAAGCACAATGGCTGCTAAGCGAGAGCTCCCAATGAGGTGGCGCCCTCTGGGAGCTGACAAAAGAAGCTATCGTTTTCCCTCAAGAAATTGAGATGTGTCACAACGTATCGCTTATCAGTAGGAGAGTCGTACCCGATGTCACTCAAGGAGTCCTCGCCGGCGTCGGGAGTTCTAGGAATTCCTCCAGCTCGGATAGACACCCTTAAGCGATGAGCCCCGGAAGGCGACGAAATATGGTCACAGTCTTTCGTGGAAGTTGCACTCGTGATGAGAGATGACTTCTGACTGCCGGAAATCAAAGCTCAATCATTTGAGCTGGGACCGCTAACTTCTTCAGCGAGTTCAGCAAGAATCGAATCGCTGCGATGTCTCAGACAGGAACTCGTTCATGCGGGGTGCTCCGCAGAACGATCCTCTATGACCCCGTTCCAAACCTAAATGGAAGCTGACCCAGGTTCGCTACCTTCAAAAAGGATGAGAATTGTATTTTGCGCCGTAGAGTGTTCCGCCTGAAGACTCCTCTCCTCTCCGGAAGCCATAGAGGAACTGCTCGAGTCCCTGATAGGGATCTAATCTCCCGAGCATCTTAGGAGGGAATCAATTCCGAGTCCATATCTGATCCCGGAGGAGTTTCGAGGTGCTCTCAGAGCAGGGAGGGTCCAACTCAAATTGGTCTTCGAGGCTCGGAGGAGGAACATGGACCACAATTCCCGGAGAAAATCCTGTCGTCGCCTTTCGCTCGCGCCTCGATGAAAGAGCTTATGGGGCAGTGTTCCGGTCAAGATGATCCGAAATACCCCCGGGCGGGCCGGTATCCGAGAATCCGATGTCGCCTAGCCCGAATAGGTGCGCCCGTACGGAAAATCGACAGGAATTCCCAAACGCTCTCCAAGGGGCTACGCAAAACTCTGATGTAGCCTACGGACGGCGAATTCGTATATTCGCCTCTGCTCAAAACTCGAAAGATACTCATTGACTGAGGACACTGTAAAGCACCGCCACGAATGACCCCCGCGAGATCTGGACTCCCAGAAGAGTCGAGAGACCACAAGAGCGCTCCAAACACACGAATGTATCCCAGTAAGCCGAAGGGCCCCATATCTGACGATCCACGTCCCCGGATCTTGAATCGACTCAGCTCCAAGATAAATTTCAAGTTTCGATTGGGGCTCATTGGTTGTACCAGCCAAAGGGAATGAGAAAGCAGACTTACTCGCGGAGCACCTCTACAACGCTTCAGAGATATGCGCCACGGTATCTTCCGGTGATTCGTGTCTGCATTCGGGCGAAGATATGCCGGATTTTCTGACTGCGGGAATACCCGTAATTAGAGAGAAACACGTACTTGCCGATCACGCGAGGCTCTCCCATGATTATCACAGACCCTTGACTGTGTCCTCGCCAGGGAGTATGAGATGAGGATAATGTTTATCTTCTGACTGAGATCAGATCGTAACTCATTCAAGGCGGAATATCGGGTTTGCGTCAGTCGTTGGATATCGATCCGATTTTTTTTTTTTAATGACATAACATCATTTATTCCAAACGAAGTGAGTTGACAGTGTCGTGCTTGCCGTGGACCCTAGAGCCCGTGTTACAATCGCACGTCAGGAAACGTCCATAAAGAACAAATGACTGAGTGGACCCGGGGGGGGGGGGGGACTAAGGTTGGGATATGATTGCTAGTGCAGTAGGTTTTCAAATCATCTTGGGGTATCGTAGAGAAGTAATCTTTTAGAATACTTTTG